AGGAGCTGCAGGGATGCCCAGGGTGGGATTGTTGGGGTGTCTGTGCAGGGCCAGGGCTGGCCTGGATGATCCCTGTGGTCCCTTCCAGCTCAGGATATTCCCTGATTCTCCAAGGTGGATTGTTTGGTGTCACCCAAAGCTGTTCCATCAAAAGCACTGAGGGGGACACCCCACACCTGAATCACTGCAGTGTCCCCAGCCATAATCCTGTCCTCCAGGGAGTCTGTCCCTCTCCATGCCTGCTCCCAGCTGCTCTCACTGAGGCTGTGTCTCTTTAGCTTAATTGCCTAAATGGAAATGTGCAAGTGACCAAATCTTTTAATCAATTAGAGCAAGTGTGGGTTCGGAGCTCTGTGACACCTCCCTGCAGCACAGGCACCAGGCAGACCTGATTTGATGAGGGTTTTTGGCTCAGTGTCCAACGCCCAATCAATTATTGTGGAGAGAAGGAACAGCTAAATAAGATTTAAATTAATAGGGTTTATTACTTTTGCATCTGAGGAGGAGGCAAAGCAGACAGGGTGAAATATCCTGTGAAGAAATTGGCTCGTATTTCTTCTGCTGTAACTTTAATGCTTATACCTGTGCATGGAGGTTTCAGCTTTTGCTTCTAGACAGCAACTGAAGTTGTATTCAGACACTAAATCAGTGGGTGGCCAAAAGCCAGGCATCACAGTAAGCCCTGAAAAATACAGAGATTAAAACTTAATAATCTCTCATAGGAGAAGTACTTAAGGTCTTTAAAAAATTAAGAAGAAACTGAAAACAGATTAAAACCAAAGCTTCTCCTCAGTAACTAACTTGATTCCAGGGGGTAATTCCTCAGGGAAATGGGGAATATTGATGTCAAAGGAGTGGACACTGCAGGTTTGGAACACCTGGAAGCTGAACCTGAAAGCTCAGAGAGCCTCTGTGCATGTCCAGCCCCCAGTCCTGGTTCTGCTGCTCTTTTCTCCCAGGTTTCAGTTTGGTTATGGTTTTGTTTCCAAAAGGGACCTGTTGTGACCAAGGTTCATCCCTCACATTGGATTCTTCACTGGTTTGTTGAGTTTGGGCCTGTCTGTCTGCCAGAAGCTCCTGAAATGACCAAATAAATGGGGTGGGGGACAGCACATCAATGTGCCCAGGTCATGCCCCTGGTAAAAAATGTGGTAAAAAAGTATTGGTGCCTTCATGTGCTGCTCTGCCATCTGAGGCATTTCTAGGAGAAAATGTGTGGGTTGAAATCTCTGATTTTCATTTTATAGCACTTTGTATTCTCCTGGACTTGGACTTCTTAAAGGTCCTGGGAGTTGTTGCAATCAGCTCCCAAATTTATGGGCTCAGTAGTGAATTGAAACAGATTATGGGCTGTGAAATGTCCACAGTGGGCCTTGGGTGTCCCTGCAGGGGATGGTGCCAGGTCCAGCAGTCAGTGATGAGGGGCAGTGACTGGGGGCTTTGGAAGGGAATTTGCACATTTTGCCACCCAGGTGAGTTCTGGAATGGTCATGGAAGCTGTGCTGGGCAGGGCTCAGGGATGGGGTGGGTGGGCACAGCACAGCACACTGAGCATCACCTGCCTTGCAGGGGATCCTGCTCTTTAAAAAGGGAGCATCTCAGAGCTGGGATGGAGCTTTTCAGCATGGGGCATCTTCCATCCTCAAGGTTTCAATTGGAAGAGAACCACAGAATTCTTTTGGTTGGAAAAGCCCTCTGAGATCCTTGAGTCCAGTTGTTCCCCCAGCACTGCCAAGGCCACCAGACCCTGTCCTCAAGGGCCACATCCATGGGGCTTTCAAACCTCTCCAGCACTGCCCTGTGACATCTTTGCCATGAAGAAATTCCCCTTCATATCCAGTCTAAGCCACCCTGGCAGCCTCTGGTCCTGTCAGCCAATTTTTCCAGCCTGCTCCAGGGTGACTTTACCTATCCTAGGGACAACATTAAATTCAGGTTCAGTATCTCAGTCCTGGTCTCTGCCCAGGCCAGACTGGGCTACTCCTGTTGCTCTCAGGAGGTGCAGAAGAAAAGGAACAGCCAGGTTTCATTTTGTACAGCAGGAACATTAAACCATTAAACCATGGTTGGTTTGTGCATTGGCCAAGCTTTTTTTGTGGTCTCCCTTTTTCTCCTGCCATCACTCCTGGGAAAGTCCTTGGGATCTCTTCTGTGTGTCCTTTCCTGGTCATGGCTGATGTTTTGCCTTCCCCTTTCTGCTGATGCCCCTGTGGTTTTGTGCTCCTCCTTTTGTTTGCAGCTGGAGGCTCACGAGGCTGCAGAAGAGCAGATTGATTTTGTTGTTTTGTCTTTGCTTTTTATTGCTGCAGTTTGCACTTCTGCCTTGGTAGGGCTTCCAAAACTGCCAGTTCTCCTGAAGTTCTTTTCCCCTTAGCTCTTCTCCTCTGGGATCTCCCTGCTGGCCATCAGGGTTCACTGAGACTGTGTTTTGAACTCTTCTTGTTTTCATTCTGCTCCTGCCCTCCCTGGCAATGGTGTGCTCTGTCCTCTCATGTCACTGCCACCAGCACTTCCTCACCTTCCTGCTCCCCACCAGGTATCACCCTGGCTCAGTCAATGCCTGCAGTAAATGATATTTTATACCTGAGCTGCATCTGCCCTCAGAGCCTCTTAAAAACCATTTGCACAATGCATAAAGCAAAAGCTGATTTATTTAAATAAACCAAGCACCTGGGGAGGCAGATCACAGGAAGCTGCACCTTCACAGGGGTCCCAGAACGTGCCAGGGACACTGGGAATGCTGTGCCAGGCTCCTGGTGGATCAGAGGTGAGCTGGGGCTGCAGGGAAGCTGGATGGGAGCAGGCTGGGGGGGTTCCAGGGCAGCCAGCAGGAGCTCCCATTGTGTTCCCTGCAGTCGTGGGGCTGTGGCACTCAGGTGTCTCTGAAGGAGCAAACCAAACCTGTTCCACACCTGGAATCTCTGCTAAAATCAAGGTTTTCTGCTGGGTGTGGGTTTGGGTGAGATTTCATTTTACTTGGAAAGGGAAGGAAAGGAAAGGAAAGGAAAGGAAAGGAAAAAGGAAAGGAAAAAGGAAAGGAAAAAGGGAAGGAAAGGGGAAAGGAAAGGAAAAAGGAAAGGAAAAAGGGAAGGAAAGGAAAAAGGGAAGGAAAGGGAAAAGGAAAGGAAAGGGGAAAGGAAAGGAAAAAGGGAAGGAAAGGGAAAAGGAAAAAGGAAAGGAAAGAAATCCCTGACACCAATTCCTGCTCAGTGTTGGTGTAGCCAGAGTTGGGAGCTCACAGAGCCTGGGGGCAGTGGGAAGGTGGCTCTGGTTTCTGTGCTGGGACTGGGGAACAACCTCCTGAGCCCAGGGAATTACTGCTTCATCCTCCTCTTGGCAGGGAACCTCCTTTTGCCAAATAAGCAGCTCTGTAGACCTGACCTGGTGTGTTTATTAAACAGTAGGATGTGTTAAAAATGCAGGGCCTGTTGGACACTAATAGCTGTCCAGGGTGCACCCACAGCCTATTGATTTCCTGCCAGCTGGCCCTATTAAATATACAAGGTACAAGTTTTGCAGTTAAACATGGAAGAGTTTTATAAATGTCTTTTATAGCTGACATTCAGAAAACTTTCCATGTTGCCAGATGGGAAAATAAAGGGGAAATTCAAAAAGCTGTTTTGACTTAAAGGATCCTTGAGGTGGTAAAGTTTGAGAACAGTGTTTGAATCTTTGCTCTTGAAGTGGATAAAGAAATGTTTGGGCCAAAAGCCTGATTTTATTGAGCTAGGCTTGTGTTTTAGCACTATCAGACAGGTGTTTCTCACTTGGGGAGTTCCAGAATGCCAGACTGGTTTGGGTTGGAAGAAACCTTAAATTCCATCCAGTGCCACCCCTGCCATGGCAGGGACACCTCCCACTGTCCCAGGTGCTCCCAGCCCTGCCCAGCCTGGCCTTGGGCACTGCCAGGGATCCAGGGGCAGCCCCAGCTGCTCTGGGCACCCTGTGCCAGGGCCTGCCCACCCTCACAGGGAGGAATTTTTTCCCTGATGTCCAACCCAAACCTGCTCTCTCTTGGTTTGAATCCCTCTCCCCTTGTGCAGAGGTCACTGGGAGCCTTTTGCTGCTCTCCAGTGAGGATGGAGCAGCCCCTCACCCTGAGCAGGTGCTGCCCTGTCCCTTCCCCTCAGTTAAAGGCTGGAGTCCTGTCCTGCTGCCCTGGAGCTGAATGCAGCTGGAACCTCCAGGTGTCCCCAGGGCTGCACAGTTTATATGCATTCATTGTTGTAGTGACAATGTTAATAATAGTGCCTTATGTACTTTACTGTGCACAATAAATTATGAACAAGGCCATCAAAGAAGTTTTTTCCATTCAAGGGGGAAATGTGGGAAATGGATTTGTAGAGAATTCCCAAAGCTTGACAGAAGGCTCACACAGTGTGCATTTGTATGTAAACTTTGAGAAATGTTGACTTAGAAATGCCATGGAATAGGACAGACCTTTCTGAGAGAGAATGGAACTAGAAACAAGTTTCAAAAGGTGGCCTTGCAAATAATATTGGATACTTTGGAGAAACAGAGAAATAGAACCATGAAAGATGCATTGTAGTGGGACCCACAAGGGGTAATTTTAGGTGATTTGCTGTAAGGCATTTACAGCATGATGTGACAAAAGCTGATAGCCAAGAAACACTTACAGTGTATTGTAATTAGGAACTAATTAGCTTCTGATTGTGATGGTGTGTATTATAACATCTGTATTGTCTCAATTGGCTTCTGATTGTGAGGGTGTGAATTCTAACATCTGTATTGTCTCACCCTTCTCATGAGACTGAAAATGGAATAAAAGTTTTTAAAACACCTCCCAATTGCCCCCTCTCTGGTCAGAACAAGGCATAACCCAGCATGCAGGGATGGTGGAGGGGGTGCAGGAAGCTGCAAAACTGAGTGTCAGGAGTGTGATTTGGTGGGCCTTGTTTTCCTTCCAGAGGTGAGTTAATCCAGGAGGTTTTGTGAAGGCCCCTGCACAATTTGCTGCTCTTAATGAGCTCTGAAGGGCTGCCAGGGGAAAAACTGAGGGGGCTTTTGGAGCACATTTCATATTTTGGGATGAAGCAGGAAATGGTGGAGAGAGAACAAGGAGGTGAATACACAGAATTTCATTGACTTCCTTAAGATGATATTTAAGGTCTGGATGAGCTCCTCATGCTAATAAAGTAAGAAATGAGGAGAAACTCCATGGGTCTTCCAGGTGCCTGGGTCCATTTACCTGGGTTAGCTTTTGCTGGTTTCCAAGAAAACAAAATATGGGGACAATGAACCAGGTAAGGTTGGCTTCCCACCCCAGTGTGACCCAGCAGTTCCTCAGATGGAATCTGGGGTTTTTCCCCTGCAAACTGCTTGGGTCAGGGGGATGAAAATCTGGGAGATGGCCCAGATCCCCCAGGAATGCATCCCTGGGACAGGGCAGGCTCCCTGCTCTCTTCAGGGGGTTTGGAGGAGCCTGCCCTCATCTGTCCTGGTACCAGAGCACCGCACAAAGACTGGGGTAGAAACAAATTCTGTCCTCAGGGTGGTGCTTGGTGCCTTTGAAATGAACTAAAAATGGCCTGGGACCTCCCTTCTCCAGAGCTTGGTGCAGCTGTGAGCAGAGAGGAGGCAGAACCAGTTTCCCTTTCTTTACAGAAGTTTTTGCAGACATTATTTTGGCTTAGAAACCTTTCACCTGTGCTTCAAAATATCTGTATAGAGTGTAATATTGTCCACAAGGCCCATTCCTCCCTCTGGGAGACCAGAGCCTGCAAGGAGAGGGGTGTAAGAGAGGTGTTCAGGGGTGACATCCAGCAGCAGGAGTTGCTGTGCATCTTTTGTTGCTTTGAGTGCTGTTGATGCCAAAGTTCCCAGGTGGCAGGTGAGTTCCCCAGGTGGCTTCCAGGTGGCAGTGGGTGACTGTGCCCTCTTCCCTCAGGCACCACACGAACCCCGTGGGCACCGAGTGGCGCTGGAGGATGGACCAGCCCGAGCAGATCCTGCAGGAGGCCCTCGAGAAGCACCAGAGCATGGTCAGGCAGTTCAAAGGTAACTCCTGCTCTGTCCCACCCCTGGGCTCTTGGGGGATAGCCAGCAGTGACATCTTCACACAGGTGAGTGTCACAGACATGTTTTATGGAAAATCCTTTCTTTGGGATTTTTCCTCCTGAGAAGCTGGGAGGCCTCAGGAACAAAATGTAAACAATGATTATCTGCTGCTGTGGGATGCAACAGGTGCATCTGGGATTGGTCTCATGTGGTTGTTTCTAATTAATGGCCAATCACAGCCCAGCTGGCTCGGACTCTCTGTCCAAGACACAAGCCTTTGTTATCATTCCATTCCTTTTCTATTCTTAGCCAGCCTTCTGATGAAATCCTTTCTTCTATTCTTTTAGTATAGTTTTAATGTAACATATATCATAAAATAATAAATCAGCCTTCTGAAACATCCTCATCTCTTCCCTCATCCTCAGCCTTCTGTGAACACGGTCACAGGTGAGAACGTTCTGCTCCTCTGGGAAGGAGGCCTGAGCTTCAGCCTGTCAGGAGGATGGGGGAGAAGAGGCTGCTGTGGCTCATTAATGTCTTCTGAAATGAGGCTCAGCCACTGGGAGTGTGCTGTGCCTGGAGGGAGCAGAGTGGAACTGCCTCTGGTGCATCCTGGTAGTTGTCAAATCCTTTCCCGTGGTGTGCACAGAGCCCTCCACAGTGCTTAAAGCCAGCCTGGGTGATGGGGGATCCTGGCTCCTCTGGAGGAGGAAGGAAAAGCTATCAGCCTCTTACCTGACAGGACACACACTGGCAGCCCTGACACCCAGCTTTGTGTTACCTGCAACTCCTGGCTGGTGGTTGTCTCATGAATAATGAAACAGCAGCAAGCAGGGGATTTTGGTTTTCAGCAATTATTCAGTACCTGTGGTTGTGACACAGCACCTCTGGGAAGCACTGCAGCTTGCTTCCCACAGAAATCCCCTGGAAGTTTGATATTCTGTGTCTGTAGCTGCAGAGAGGGCTGGGGGTTTTGTTTCCCAAATGTGATGATCTGGCTGCTGTGCCAGGGTCAGCTGTGTGCTGGCTGGGCTGGCCAGCTTGGCAGGACAGCTCCAGGGCTCTGCTCTCCCCAGCTGCCTTGAGCTGCACAAATGGAGTGGAACAGCCATAAAACCTGCAGGATGGGTCCTGGCCTTGGCTGTCAGTTTGGGAACCTGATTGTTTAGGTTGGCTGTGCTCAAAGAGATTCCAGTGGATCCAGGATGTGGCAGGCACAAAGCCCTTCTGTCAGCAGAGCAGAGCTGCTCTGCCTCCATCTCTGCAGCTGGATAATGGGTGGAAAAATAGCTCAGGTTGGGGCCCCATGGGCTTCACTCTCCTCACGTGGCTGCTTTGGAGCAGCAGCTCAGTGAAGCCTCACTCCTGAGCCAGGGCTTTGTTTGGCACTGTCAGACATCCCCTGGGGCAGGGATGGTGGTGCTGAAACAGCCTCAGCAGCTCTGCAGGGAAACCTGGGGGTGAGAGGCACTCTCAGGGCAGGGCTGTACCCCAGGGGCACCTGCAGAAACACCAGGGTTGAGCCAATGGATGCAGGGAAGGGCCTGGACCCCAGGAGGGGCTGAGGGAGCTGGGCAGGGGCTCAGCCTGGAGCAGAGGAGGCTCAGGGGGCCCTTGTGGCTCTGCACAGCTCCTGCCAGGAGGGGACAGCCGGGGGGGTCGGGCTGTGCTCCAGGGAACAGGGACAGGAGCAGAGGGAACGACCTCAGGCTGGGCCAGGGCAGCTCAGGGGGGATTTGGGGGAAATTTCTCACTGAAAAGGGAGGCCAGTCCTGGCACAGGCTCTGCAGGGCAGGGCTGGAGTCCCCATCCCTGGAAATGTTCAAAATTCATGTGGATGTGGCACTTGGGGACACGGTTTAGTGGTGGCTTTGGCAGTGCTGGGGACTGTTTGGACTCTGATCCTGGAGGTTTTCTCAGCCTCAGTTTCTCTGTGTCTCTGAGCGCTGGGAGGTTCTGAGGGAGATCAGATCTGTCCATGCTGGAGTCCCACCTGTCTGTTGTCCCTGTCCCCAGAAGAAGGGACAGCAGACTTGGTTTCTGTTTGGGAGAGTGAAGTTGCACATCAAAATGAGCTTGTTCAGCCAGAGTGGGGCCTGGACAGGTGGGACCCTCCAGCCCTGGAGGCTTTCAGGCCTCTGGAGAGGAGCCATTACCACCCTGCACTGAGGAGTAACCTCATTCCCTGACCCTGCTGTCTTCCCAAAATGAGTTGAGGACAGGGAATGATTATGGAGAGACTTTCCAGCATCTGAAATATTGCTCAAGTGTCAGGGGGCCTGTCAGGACATCCCAGTTCTCCCTTTTTGGAGTCTATTTTCTGTTAAACAAATTCATAAATATTACTCAAAATGTGCCTGTGCATCTGAGCACAGTTACCCTTGACCTGGAACTGTGAAAGGAGAAAACAGAAAAGCTCTGGACTAGAACTGTGCTGTTAAGTGGGAAAAGAAAAGCTGGTTCATTTTTCTAGTGCTAGATGGCAACATTCCTGTCCTAGCTGCTGTGAGTCAAAGGTTTATTAAGGAGCAGAAAAATTGGAAAGAGAAGCCCAGGAGCTCCTGTTCCATGTAGTGAATTTTACATCTTTCTTCCCTCAGGTGTGTGGGGAGGTGCTGTCAGGGTGCAAGCAGCAAGAGGCAAACTGAGTAGGAGCAGAGTGAGTGAACTGAGCTGGGGACAGGCAGAGGTTCAGCTGGGGCAGGATCAGAGTCCCTGTGTGCAGTGCCAGGCTGGAGGAACAGGCCTGGCTGCTCCTGCCAGCCCAGCAGCTCTGCACAGACACCAGGGGCCTTTACTGGGAGTGATGTTTGAGAAAAACCCAGCAGAAGCACAGGAAGCACCTGCTGGAGCAGGGAGGTGGCCCAGGCTGCTGTGGGAGGAAAGGAGGGGTTGTGGCTGAGCTCTGTCCCTGACTGGCACTGCTGGGGCACCTCCAGGAAAGACAGCAAGGGGCTGGCATGTCCAGGGAAGGGTCTGGAGCCCCGGGAGGGGCTGAGGGAGCTGGGCAGGGGCTCAGCCTGGAGCAAAGGAGGCTCAGGGGGCCCTTGTGGCTCTGCACAGCTCCTGACAGGAGGGGACAGCCGGGGGGGTCGGGCTGTGCTCCAGNGCTCAGCCTGGAGCAAAGGAGGCTCAGGGGGCCCTTGTGGCTCTGCACAGCTCCTGACAGGAGGGCACAGCCGGGGGGGTCGGGCTGTGCTCCAGGGAACAGGGACAGGAGCAGAGGGAACGGCCTCAGGCTGGGCCAGGGCAGCTCAGGGGGGAAATTCCTTCCTGGGAGGGTTGTCCAGCTCTGGCACAGCTGTCAGGGAGGTTTGGAGTGCCCATCCCTGGAGGGGTTTATAAACTGTGTGGAATGTTGCATTTGGGGACAGGGGTTAATGGTGACCTTGCAGTGCTGGGGAATGGTTGGATTCCATCTCCATTTCCCAGCACTGATGTGTCTGATCCTGCAGCTCTGGCTGGGCACCCACAGGGACTCCAGAGGTGTCCCAGCAGGGCTCAGGTGTTGGACCCTGGCCCTTGGCATAGACTTTGGGCTGTTTGGGCTTCTGGGGAATCAAAACTCCCTTAGCTGGGGAGTCCTCAGGGCTGGAGTGTCTGGGGGTGCTGTCAGGTACCTCCCTGAGCCTTTTGAATTCATTGGTGCTGCTCTTTCCAGTTTTGGAGGCTTTGCAGGCAGATCCATCCACACACGCATTCCATGGGCCAGAGAAACTGCTGAGCTCATCTGGTGCTTTATTCATATAATCCATTGCAGTAAAAATGAGATTTCCTTTGAAGGACCAGAATTCTTGTGTCCCTTTATCCTTTAGGACACCCTACAGGACAGCCCTCATACTCTGGGTGCCCGTGGTTGATGATAAATCACTTCTACTTTAGTGTTGCCTCAGTTTGTGCTGGGTTTGGAGAGCACAGCCATTAAAGCCCCATAATTCTCTCTTGGATTAAATGATGGAGAGACACCTCACTGATAGGGAGTGAGGCTGCAAAGTTTATTTGATGGATACATTTTTCTGGGGAGTGACTTGTAAATCTCTGTGCCCTTGCAAAGGGCACACACAGGATGGAAACATAACTCAGGAATGAGAGAGTGGAAGTCTGATAATAAAGTGAAAAAGCCAGAAAGAAATGCATGACCTGTGCCAGGAAATCCTCAGAGAACCCATGGATCAGCATGGACAGAGCAGGTCTCTCATCCCCCTGGCCCCCAGGCTCTTGTGGTGCTGCTCAGGTGCTTACAGGGGTGCCAGAGTCAGCCCAGCCTCCCCAGGGTGCTGTGCCAGGGGTGCTGTCTTTGTCCAAGTTAGTGCAGCAGCTGGAATCAGCTTTTCCAGGGAGATGTGCTCTGCTGGGGGCTGAGGGCAGGAGCAGAGCCAGAGGGATTCAGGAGAGTCCCTGCCCTCCTGGGATCCACCAGTCCTGGCAGTTTATCCCTGCCTGGCTCGTGGTTTGTGTGCTCAAAGGGTTGTGTGCAAACCCACTCCCTGCTCTGCGTGGATGTGGCAGGTTTGGTGTAAACTGTTTTGGGAAAGTTCCCCTCAAACTTTAGGGGATGTTGGGATTTTGTTCTGCTGCTTATAAAGCTGGCAGGCTAATGATGAGAGTCCAGATGAAAAATGCTGAGAGAGAGAAATTAATTAATTCCAAAACTGACTTACAGTAGTTTTAGGAATATGAAAGTTAGTCCTTTAATCTCAGCGTGTGCTGGAGACGCTGCTTTCTTCTCCAATAAAGCTCTCATTTAGTGCTGTCAGCTTTCTATGGAATAACCATTAGTCCTGTCACTTCCTCAGGACTGAGCCTGGCTGCTTGAAAATGCACTGAGCCCTGCTCTGATTCCAAACCAGCTTTGCTACGTGAGGCTGGAGCAACATCCACAAACACCTCTTTTATCTGGGCTTTGCAGCAGAGCTGTAATTTTCTGTTCTGCAGCGTCAAGGCAACCAGGAGGGAGCTGAGGACCTGGATTCACACTCCAGGCTTTGTTTTTTATCTTTAAAACAGACCAGCCCCCAATCTAAAGCCTCAGATAGGATTTGAGTACATCAAGGCACATCAGGGAAATGTGAAGTGACAGATTGGGAACAAAAGCTTGTTTGGAGGCAGCTGATTTCATCCGGGGTCCTGAGCACCTGGTCAGGTGTGGGTGGGCTGCAGGAGCATCCAGCTCCCCCTCCCTCCTGTGGCATCAGGAGTGGGACTCAGGTGGTGTTTTCACATGGATGCTACATTTGAGCTGTGTGTGTTTTCCTTCTGAAAGGTCTCTGCCTGTTCAGGACCGTGCCATGTGCTGGGATTTCTTTTGATCTCATCCCCTGTGGAGCTGCATGTTCTGTGTTTGCAGTCAGGGCTCAGCCCCTTGCTGTGCTTGGGGAGCTGTGCTCAGCTGCCCTTCCTGCATTCAGTCCCTTGCTGGGAAGGGCTCAGCTGCCCTTCCTGGAGCCCACAGGGACCAGCACAGCACAGCCATGGCCTGGGCTGCTTTCCTGACACACCTGCTTGCAGTGGCCTTGAGCTGCCCTGTGTGTTTGTGTCTCAGCATTCAGCAGCATCCCGAGGCCTCAGCAGTGGGGAGCTTGGCTCAAATGTTTAATCTTGGCTCAGGTGTCAGCAGTTCACTGCTCTCAGCAGTGCCCAGGGCACTCCCAGCCCAGGCTCTGGGTGCTGCTGCTCTGTGGGTGCTGCAGAGCTGCTCCCTGGCTCTGCCCTGGTGTCCCTGTGCTCTTCTCAGCCCTCCTGTGCCAGGTGTGTTTTGGTTACAGGTGTTTGGGAGGGGGATTTGTTGCAGAACCACAGATGGGTTTGGGTTGGAAGGGATCTTAAAAATCATCTTGTTCCTTCCACTTCCCCCAGAGCAGCTTGCTCAGGGCCCCATGCACTGTTCATTTCAGTGTTGTCCCCTCTGCAGGTGTGTCAGGAGTGAAGGCAGCCCGGCTGGAGGAAGCTCTGGCAGTGAAGCACTGTGCCCTGTCCCTGGTGGGGGAGCCCATCATGTACCCCCACATCAACCAGCTGGTGAGGCTCCTGCACCAGCAGGGCATCTCCACCTTCCTGGTCACCAACGCCCAGTTCCCCGAGGAGATCAGGTAAGAGCTGCAGGGAATTCCTCCTCAGACACTGCAGTGCTGACCTGTGTCCCCATGCCATGCTGTGTCCCTCAGAGTCAGTCTGCACAAGCACTGGGAATGAAAATCCCCCTCAGCATCTGATTTTAACCTCAATCTCCTCATCTCCTTCTCAGCCCTTTCTCTCTCTCAGTTTGATTTTTTCTGTACCTCCTAAACAAACTGTGATTGCTGCTGGAAGTGGAAAGGCTGGAATGTGGCACCTGTGAAGGAGTGGCAGGAGGGGAGCAGTGAGTGAGCTGTGCTTTGTGCCTGGGGCAGGAATAATTTCTGTCCTGCCAGGCAGAGCAGGGCACTGAGCTTAGAGATTGCCTTTGGGGCTGATCTTTGTTCTGAGCCCAGAGCAGCAGCTGTAAAGGCTCAGCCCACAGCTCTGCCCAGCCCAGCATCCCCAGCAGAGTCAGGATCACGAGGGTGACCAGCACATGTCCATCAGCAAAGTGGGATCTGCTTCACCTCCCTCAGGGGGACTTGAATGAAGGCTTCCAAACACTTCAATGAACTCTTTCAGAGTCTTTCTAAAGGAAAATAATCCCTTTTTCTGATGCTGTGGAGCATCCAGGCTGTTGTTACCAAAGTGCAGCACGTGGGGAAATGCAGCTCCAGGGAGGCTGGGGCTGCTCACAACCCCAGCAGTTGGGAACAGCAGCAAATCCAGCCCTGGAGCTGTGGCAGGGTGGCCTTGGTGTGACCCATGAGGGTGGCCAGGGTGGCCTTGGTGTCACCCAGCTCATGCCAGCTCCTCTCTGTGCTCCTGGGACACTCATGGTCTGAATCTGGCACTGAGGGGGGAGTGCAGGCACTTTAGGAGTGAGTAATTATACACTACAAAGGCATTCCAAATGATTGAATAATTGTGTAATCAAGTTACTTTAAGTCATGTATTATGTGCCTGGTAGATAGAAATTGCTCTTCCCTAAATATAGCAGTTTAAAAAGAGAGCACACACTCTATTTGGAAGCTGCACTTTTCGGATCTGCTGAATCTTTTTAAAAAGAAACAAAAAAGAAGGGGGTAAAATGCTAGTCTTGCTGTCTTAAAAATTGCAACTGATCTTTGGCTCATCAAAGCAGATGATTTGCTTAATATGGGAACTGAAGTTGGCACCCAGCTCACTTCTGTGCTGTCAGCAGAGGAGCTGCAGTCAAAAAGTTCATCCGGCAATAGGCAGGGTGACCTCAAGAGAGATGAGAGGGACTGGGGACAAGGGCTGGAGGGACAGGACACAGGGAATGGCTCCCAGTGCCAGAGGGCAGGGCTGGATGGGATATTGGGAATGAGGAATTGTTCCCTGTGAGGGTGGGCAGGCCCTGGCACAGGGTGCCCAGAGCAGCTGGGGCTGCCCCTGGATCCCTGGCAGTGCCCAAGGCCAGGCTGGGCAGGGCTGGGAGCACCTGGGACAGTGGGAGGTGTCCCTGCCAGGGCTGGATGAGTTTTAAGGTCCCTCCCAGCCCCTTCTGGGAGAGGGCAGTGTGGCCTGGGGTGTTGCTGGATTCAGGACAGGGGCTCCAGTGGGTGCCCCCTGTGCCTTCCTCTCCTCCTCCTCCTCTCCTCGGGCAGCAGCTCCACCTGCCACAGGCTCACAATAAACTCAGGGAGGTTTTACAGCAGGTGAGCTCCTGTACCTGGCTCCTGTCTCTGACCCATGGCTGTGAACACCCCTCGTGTGTGGGTTTGCCTTTATGATCAATTATAATGCCAATAATGAGCAGATGATTATTAATGCTCACCAGCAGATGCTCATTTGTGATGTTGCTGTTCCTGGTTCTTGTGGGCTCTGTCCTGCCTGCCTGGTGAAGTGGATTTATTTGATGGCACAGCTCAGCTGAAGATTTCAGCTCAGGATTCCTGCCCACACCCCTGTGTAAATGCCATGGATTTGGTCTCCTGGATTTCACCTCAGGTGTCTGAGCTAGCAGATCCATCCTGGTGCCACACAGCTGCATTTGCTGTTGTTCTGCACTGGAGCTGTCCCAGGAGCACCAGTCTGTGTCCTGGTTCTCACTGCCCCTCTCTCCTTGTTCCCCCTTGGCAGAACGTGCCCAGCTCACCTGGGATCCCAGCCATGCAGAGCCCTGTGGGCCATTCCTGTTTGGGGCTGAAATCCCTCCCTTGCATCACTTCTAACTCCTTCATTTCCCCCTTGCTGACTGTGAGTCTGGCTCCTGCCTGTCCCTAGGTTTGAGATGATTTTTCTCAGCCCCTCTTTGTAAAGCACCTGCTCCATCTTCACTGGGTCCCTTTTTAATTAAGCAAAGACAGCACTCAGTAAAGAAGGAGTTTGGCTCAGTATTCCTGGAAACTGAGCACTTCACATTTGGTCATTTTGGACTCTGTGGCTTTGAGTTGCCAGTCCAGACAAACTTGTTTACAAAAACTGAAATTTTAACCTGAAACATTCAGTTTGTTCTGGATTATTTTGTTTTGCTGTCTAAATACACACACAGAGAATGTGTTCCAATGGTCGGTTGAGTGGATTTTTCTGGACACAGAGAGCTCTGGTCCGTCTCTCTCTGGCCAGTTCTTGCCCCTGTCACCTTTGGGTGACAATGTATTTTAGGTGGCGCTGTTTGGTACCTGAACAATGGCTTCTGATTTCTCCTCATCTCTAGAGAACCAAATGAAGCTGGGACTGGTGCCTGCTCATTGCAGACTTCACACCAAGCACTCCCAAAATGCTGCCCCAGATGCTGGGAGCTCTGTGTACACTGTGGTTGTTGATGCTGCAGCCCTGGGGTGGAGGTGCCACGAGGGTTGTGTGTCACACTCACTGCCTTGGTCACTTCTGCCAGGGGAAAGGCTCTGTCCCCACCCCTGGAGGTGGCACTCAGTGCCTTGGGCTGGTGACAAGGTGGGCATCAGGCACAGGCTGGGCTTGGTGACATTCAGGGGCTTTTCCAGCCTCAGTGATCCTGTGTCACAGACATGTTTTATAGAAAATCCTTTCCTTAGGATTTTTTCCTCCTGAGAAGCTGGGAGGCCTCAGGAACAAAATGTAAACATTGATTATCTACTGCTGTGGAATGCAACAGGTGCATCTGGGATTGGCCCATGTGGATGTTTGTAATTAATGGCCAATCACAGTCAGCTGGCTTGGACTCTCTGTCTGAGCCACAAGCCTTTGTTATCATTCTTTCTTAATCTATTCTTAGCCAGCCTTCTGATGAAATCCTTTCTTCTTTTCTTTTAGTATAGTTTTAATGTAATATATATCATAAAATAACAAATCAAGCCTTCTGAAACATGGAGTCAGATCCTCATCTCTTCCCTCATCCTCAGACCCCTGTGACCACTGTCACAATCCTGGGATTCTGAGGGAGCTCCTTTCTAGGCTCTTCTTAATCCCTTTGGTCCTTTTGCTGCTGGGCTGTGGTGCTGCTGCTCCTCCCTGATTCCCTTGGCATTTATGGAAGGGATCAGCCTCCAGCCAGGCTCTTCCCACACCAAAGGAGGTTCAGTCCCTGCAGGAGTTCCCAGTGCTGGCTCCCAGCACTTGTGGCCAGAAGGGCTCTGCTCCAGGATTTCTGTGGAAGGAGAAGGCTGTGGTTTGTGTGTGGCTTTGTTTTGTAAACAGCTTTGCTATCCCTTCAGAAATGTCACTGATGATCCTGCTGCAGGTCAGGGCAGTTCAGCATCTCCAGCAGTAGCAACTGCCTGAATTAGGGCTGAATTTAGAGTCACAGAATCCCTGAGGTTGGAAAATCCCTCCAGGATCATTGAGTTCCAGCTGCACCCAATCCCTGCCCAGAGCACTGGGTGCCACCTCCAGGGATGGGCACTCCAAACCTCCCTGGGCAGCCCCTGCAGTGCCTGAGCCCCCTTTCCATGGGGAAATTCCTGCTGATGTCCATTTCTGTTGAATGGATTGTCTTCCCATGGGCCAGATAGATCATGGAGAAAGGGCACAGCTTTGTGGGTTGCAGAACCTCTCTGTGCCTCAGCTGAACCCCTTCCTTTGGGAAGCCTTTCCCAATGTGTTACAGCCCCACTGGAGTGAGATCTGTGCTGGTGCAGGGAGGAAGTGACAAAGGCATTGTCAGCCAAGGCTGTGTGAGAGTTCTCAGCCTTGGGGCTGTTTGTTGGGGTTATAACACCTTGCTGCTGATGGCAGAGATGACCCTTCCCTGGAAACACTGCCCTGTTCCTGTCCCTGTTTTGGTAGGAGAGCACAAACTGAAGCTGCAGGTTTGGAAAGCAGCAATTCCCTTTTCCCTTTGCAGGAAGCTGGAGCCTGTGACCCAGCTCTACGTCAGTGTGGATGCCAGCACCAGGGAGAGCCTGAAGAGGATTGACAGACCCCTCTTCAAGGACTTCTGGGAGAGGTTTCTGGACAGCCTGAAGGCCTTAGCTGAAAAGGTACCCACTTAAGCATGGATTTTTAAATGGCTTTTTCCTTCCTTCTGTACTCTGCTGACTCACCACCTCTTTTTCTTTCTTCTCACCTTACCTGCTTCTACTTTCTGCAGAAGTAGAAGACTTGAGAGGCTCTAAGATGGACCATGGAGTGGGTTCTGGGTGTGTTGGGAGTATATTTCCATGGTTGGGGTGTTCAGGTGTGTGAAGTGCAGCAGGTTTGGGTGGTTTTCCAGAGCAGAATGTGTGTGTCAAATGGAGCAGTAAATGCTGTGACTAAAGGGTGCTGTGAGGGATGAAGAGATTATCAAATAATAGATTTCCTAACAAAGGGGTTACACTAAAAGCAGGCTGCTGAAGGAAAGCTGGAAATTCAGGGAAGAGTTGTAAATCCCCTGTGTTCCTTTGCTCTGGTTCTCAGAGGCTCCCTTGAAATGGCAGCACATGAGGGACATTAAAATGTGTGTGCTGGAGTTTGGTAGCTCTGTCACCCTCCTGCCCCACAGAAATTTGCTTTTCCTGGGAGGTTGAGCCATCCCAGGGGATCTGAGCACAGCAGCAGGAGGGCTTTGCCCTGTGTGTGATGGATCAGCAGTGCCTGGGCCCTGGGTGTGCCAGGTGAGCTGTGCAGTCACTGGTGCAGCACTCCTGGGCCCAGCAGCACTGAGGGGATGAGAACAGAGCCATGTCTGCCTCTTGTTCCTGCTCCTGGGCTCTGGTGGGAGCCAGGGCTGTGTGGACTGATCATTGACACGTTGCCTGCTGGGATGGACAGCCAGGAGAGACTGCTGCTTTGGAATAATGAGGTTTTGTAGCCATAATGAGCTTCCCAGCTGTCTCAGGAGGTGGTGTTGGAGCATTCTCTGCCAAAGGAACTTAGGTTAGTGGATGTGTGAGGCTCAGAGGAATTGAGTGGCACTTTCTGCTGCATGTGGGCAGCATGGTCAGGTGCTTTGTGTGTGGAGATGCAGCTCCTGTGCAAAACCTCAGGCCAAACACTGAGGGCATTAAAATCAAGTGGAAACAAATTCTCTGTGAGCAGGGAGATCTGTGGGAAGGAGAAGAGCTAAAATACTGAAGGTACAAAATACTGAAAAAGCCTTTTGGGAAGTTGCTTTTGCCCATCATTTCTTTCCTGTGCCTCTCTTGACCCTGAGTGTTCATTACTGGGAGAAGTTTCCTTGCAAACAATTGAAGGTGAAAGTATTGGCAAGTCTGTCCATACAGCTAAAAATACCCTGGTCAAGGTGAAGAGGAGAGGAGAAAGCAGCTCCACTAGCAGGTGCATTTTCTCCTCCAAGCAACTGCACTTTGAAGGGTCCTTGAAACACTGATAACACAAGAGCCAATTAATGGTTGTTCCAGTTGAAGCCCTGCTCAGCTGCACGAGGCAGCAGCACATGTGGGGGCAGCAGGAACTCTTGGGGAAGCTGCTTTTTGTTGGTTTTCACTTAATCCCAGAATCAGTGAGGTTGGAAAGCCCTCCCAGCCCATCCAGTCCAAGCTGTGCCCAGAGCACTGTGTGCCATTCCCAGCCCTTCCTTGGACATCTCCAGGGGTGGGGACTCCAGCCTTCCCTGGGCAGCCCCTGGCAGTGCCTGAGCCTCCTTTCCATGAGGAAATTTTCCCTGATATCCAGCCTGAATCTGCCCTGGCACAGCTTGATGCCATTTCTCTTTGTCCCCTGCTCCCTGGGAGCAGAGCCACAAGGTCCCCCCTGATTTTCTGCAGGCTGAGCCCCTTCCCAGCTCGCTCAGCCTCTCCTGGGGCTCCATTCCCTTCCCTGGACACCCTCCAGCCCCTCAGGGTCTGCCCTGTCCTGAGGGGCCCAGGGCTGGCTCTGGGTTGGAGGTGCCCCAGCAGTGCCAGCACAGGGGACAAGCTCAGGATTCTGGTACCCAAAACCTCCAGGTGCTCCTGGGCATCAGCAGCAGCTCTCTGTCCCCTCCCAGCTGCCCTGTGGGACTGTCACTGTGGGAGGTGGTGGCAGCCAAAGCACCTGTGAGTTCCTGGGACACACAGGCCCTTCTCCAGGCTGGGTGTGGAATGCTGCTGCTGGGGAGGTGATGGTAATTTATCGGGAAACAAATACAAGCCCCAGTTTTTCCCAGTGCCTGACAACCCTTCCAGGCTGATTCAGTCCTTCCCAGGTGGAGAGGAGCTGGCACTGCAGCTCATCTGAGTCACTGCTGAGCAGTCATGGGCACACTGAAAAATAAAAGTGGGCAGGGGAGTTTATAGGAATGTGAGTTGTACCTGCTGTGGTCACCCTTGTGGGGTTTGGGAGGTGCTGGTTCTGCTCCCTGCCTGGGGTTGCAGGGGTGGGTGGTGGCAAAATAATCCTCTGCTTTGGTAATCCAGACTGAGAAATGGGAGGGAAAGGAAGAGGGAAGGACGTGGTTTTATGTGACAAAGGAGAGAGGATGTTTGTCTTGGCTGTTCTCTTTGCTCCAGCCAAATCCCAGGTCCTGTTAAATATGGGAGGGCCTAGGCAAAGATGGACTTCAAATGTCTCTTACCTCAGTGAGGTGGTTATAGAACGCAGGAATCCTGGTTTGGGTTGGAAGGGACCTTAAACTCACCCCATTTTAACCCCTTCCACCAGCCCACACTGCTCCAGGCCCCATCCAGCCCAGCCTTGGCCCAGTTATGCTGATAATGGATTTCATGCTTTTAACTGAACTCCTGCACAAAGTTCTTGAGCCTCGGTAAAAGGGTGAATTTAATAACAAATTGTTCCCAGGATGATCTGACAAGCCTCATCCAACATGTTGGGGATTAGTTGCTACATCCATTTTCAAAGGAAGCCCAGGAAGAAAAGATAAAAAGCTATTTCTCTCTGCAGCAAACAACATGAACCCCCCCCTTTGTCCAGTGCTACTTGGAGCAAGTTTGATCCTTTCTAGAGCTGCTCTCATTGAAATGATCTTCATGTTACATTTTCTGTGCTGAGAAGCACTTTTTGAGAGAGGAGTTTATGTTAAACAGCAGGTGGACTCCCAAAGGCTCCTTTGTTTCTTGTCCTGATTCCTCTACCCCTGAAATTAAATGGAGAGGGAAAGGAAAGACAAGAGCATGGGCAATTTAGGCTGTGCCCTTCCAAACACCACATTTGAGTTTTGGAACCTCACCCTCTGACAGCCTTGAGTTTGTGAGAGTGATTGAGAGATGGCTTGGCTTGACAGACAAGTGCTTGGAGCAGGCACTGAGGATGTGAGTCCTTGTCTGATCATCAGGATGAGAAATCTCTGCTGAAAGGTGTTTCTTCCAGCCATTGCTGCTTCCTGATCCATACCCAGTGAGGAATGGGCTGCAAACCAATGCTGAGGGCTGGGCCTGGAGCAGAGCCTGGGCCCTGCTCTGCCCCTCCCTGCACACAGGGACAGCCAGGCCTGAGGGCCCCTCTCAGCTGGGGCTCCTCTCCAGCCTGAGCAGCCGCAGCTCCCTCAGCCTTTGCTGGGCACAGAGATGCTCCAGGCCCTCCTCATCCTCACAGCCTGAGCTGGCCCCACTGCAGGAGCTG